ATGCATGTTTTCTGGTTCTCTTGTAAGAATCATGGCCTTTCAAGTTAAAAACAAATATTTCTGGTATCTCTGAAATGCTGATATGTCCTTAGGTTTTATGCACCTTTAACAGTGGATGTTTTGGAGAGTCTAGAAAATGTGATCCTGGAGTTTGTGCATGTTAGCACGCTGGTATTACACAAGCAAAATGTTATGTTTCACTTGTTTAGGCAATGGGACTACATTGAATTGTTAGCTTCTCAAAAGAAGCAGTTAATATCAAAACACTGAAAATGGTTCTTAAAATGTGGCATGTAAATGTTCCTACAGCTGCATATAACAGAAATGAGGCATGTGCACTCAGGAGAATACATGGACTGTGATCTATTAGAAAGTGAGGAAAGCACAGATGTCAATAATGAATTAATGATGACTGAGGTCCATTTTGTTCCTTCAGTTTCAGGGTCCCGGTGATGTCCATGTCAACTCATTGTAACACTGTGATGTCTTACTGGGAGCGCCTGAGTAGAACGACGTCATTGCCAATGTTATTAGTAATGCTCGAAGCTTTTCCTGTGTTACATCAGAAGGTTTGCTGTAAAAAAGGTTTTTACAGTGATTAAATGGGGGCATTTACATTTATAAAGTAAAGATCTCTCTAATCAGATGTGTTCTCAGTAATTTTATCAGCAGTCCTCTTTTAGGTTCCTTAAAGTCAGATATGCATATTCAAAAATATTACTCGGAAATAGCTTTACCTGTGATTGGGTCACAGTGCATGGCCTTTAAACAAATGTTTTGCACGAGTACACTTAAATCTTAAATGGTGTTGGGGTTAAGTACAAGGGTTTTCTTGTTGGGCTTTTGTTTGTTTGTTTGTTTGTTTTTGTCAGTTGAACACAGTAATTATTTGAGCTACAAAGGGAGCCAATTATATTTCCAAGACATGCATGTTTGAGGATTCTGAGATATGGTTCTTAAGCTCCTTTTCTCTGGTTGTCTTTGTTTTGCTTTTTCAATACCCCTCCCCATCGCAACTGCTCACCCCAGGTTTTCCCCTAAAAATGAATTAAGATTAAAACCTTTTCATGTTGATATATTTCTGCCCTGCTTATCTTGTCAGGCTGGACAAATATGAATGATGTACACAATGATCTAGTCATGACTGAAGGTCAGAACAGACCCCAGAGAGAGAGAAGGGGGCTGAAGTTTGTTGGTATGAGAAAAAAAGAGATAGAGGGAGGAATAATGGAAGAACTGCAAACAGAGGGGAGACAGTTTTCTCTAATAATGAAGAATAGCAAAGATAACAGCTATGCTGCATATTCCTGTTATCTGCAACATAAAAAAGAAAAATCCCCTCAGGGGCCTCACTAGAAACTAGAAACTTTATGTGGGTGTGCTCGTATGAAACTGTAAAGATATGATAACTTAGTATGCATGGCTTTCATTGTAAAAATATCCATAACAGGCCATTTAGCTGCTGTTTTGTCAAACTTTTTTTTCCCATCCTAGTGGATGTGTGAGGCTATGCTTCAGCATGGAGCTGCTTTGAGCTAAACATCAGCATGGCATCAT